ATAATAGTAGTCTCGAAAAAGAAAATCGATAAATGCTTGCGATTTAATGTCATAGTTTTTTTTTTAATATAGACACTAAACAGATCACCGAATGGTTGTACTTTCGAGAAGACTTGCTGAGGAGCAACACCATCTGTCGAAAGATATCGATGGATTTGGTGTAAAGGAAACCAATCGAAGTTTGATTGTTCTTGCGTAGTCTGTTATTGTGTGTCAGGTTTTATTTAGAATATTTCAACACTGAAGGGAAAATGTGGGGTAAACTTTAATCTATTTTCGTGTTTCATTCAATTCATACGTCATTGGTAAGATTCTATCGTCGTATACTAAGACTGTTGTAGTATAGATGTAGTTATGTCATTTGTAGTATTGAGTTTAAAGTAATGAAATGGTTTCCTTAAATTCACAAATAGTTGATTCGATGGCGCCACATCATAATGTGAATCGGATACAATTCGGAATTTTATCTCCCGATGAAATTCGACGAATGTCAGTGACAAATCCACCGATTGAATATGCAGATTTATTTGAAGAAGGAAAAGCAAAAATTCAAGGTCTTATGGATCCACGACAGGGTCCACCTGATCAATATTCAAAATGTCATACTTGTACTGGTTCTTATATTGAATGTCCAGGACATTTTGGTCATATTGAATGTCAGTATTTATTTCTTTGTAGGGTTAATTAAATACATAAATTCTATTGATCTCTGATAGTGATCAAGCCCATATATAATGTTGCTTTCCTATCGAAAATATTGAAAATTTTACGATGTATTTGTTTTCATTGTTCGAAATTATTGGTCGATCCAAATGATCCAAAAATACTTGATATTATTAAAAAAACGAAAGGGCAATATCGTCAACGTCTTGCTTATATTTTTGATGCATGTAAAGAACGAAAAATTTGTCGAGGTTTGAGTTTTAATTTGTAGCTTTATTTTATTTGATTTTATTTGAAGGAGCTACGAATGAAAACGATGTAACAATGAATGATTCAGATGGTTGTGGAAGAAGACAACCAAAATATCGTCAATCAGGTTTAGGTTTAACAATTGAATGGGAAGAAACATTAAATGAAAATGAAGAAACGCGATCAAAATTATCAGCTGCACGCGTTCTAGAAATATTTCAAAAAATTTCTGATACAACTTGTGAAGTTCTCGGCATGAATCCTCAACAAACACGACCTGATTGGATGATTCTAACTGTTTTACCAGTTCCTCCTATGTGTGTTCGTCCATCAATATCATCATTTGACGATTTAATTCATTGTCATAATGATTTGACATACAATTTAGCAAAGATAATTAAAGCAAATAATATTTTACGTGAACGTGAACAACGTGGTGCAGCTTCACATATCATTGAAGAAGATTTGGAACTTCTTCAATATTATTGTGGAACTTTAATTAATAATGATCTGTCTGGAATACCAAAATCTTGTCAGAAAAGTGGAACACCATTGAAATCTATAAAAGAACGATTAGAAGGTTCATTATTTTTATTTTATTATCTATATATATATATATATGTAGAAGTTTTATAATTTTTAGGCAAAGAAGGTCGAATTCGAAAAGATTTATTGGTTAAACAAGTTGATTTTAGTGCGAGGACAGTAATAACACCAGATCCAAATTTATCAATTGATCAAGTTGGTGTACCACGTACAATAGCACAAAATTTAACTGTACCTGAAATTGTAACACCATTTAATATAAATTGGTTAAAAGAATTAATTTGTCGTAATGCAGCTAAAAATATAATATTGAATACAGGTGAAATAATTGATCTTCGTTGTCATCCAAAATCATCTGATATACATTTACAATCTGGTTATATTGTTGAAAGATTTATGATAGATAATGATTTAGTTGTACTTAATCATCAACCAACAGTCCATAAAATGTCAATGATGGCACATCGTGTTAAAATTCTTCCATGGTCAACATTTCGATTAAATGTATCTTTAACAACACCATACGATGCTAGTTTTGATGGTGATGAGATGGATTTACATTTACCACAATCAATTAAAGCTAAAGCTGAATTATCTGAATTAATGATGGTACCACGTTTGATAATAACACCACAATCTCATCGACCTGTGATGAGTATTGTACAAGATACATTAATAGCTGTTTGGAAAATGACTAAACGTGATGTATTTATTGAAAAAAATGATTTTATGAATTTATTAATGCATTTACCATCATGGGATGGACATATACCACAAGCAGCTATATTAAAACCAAAACCATTATGGACTGGTAAACAATTATTTTCATTAATTCTTCCACGTGAAGTTAATTGTATACGTACAAATAGTCAACATCCATATGATGAAGATAGTGGACCGCATAAATGGATATCACCTGGTGATACAAAAGTTTTAATTGAAAATGGACGTTTATTATCAGGTATATTATGTAAAAAAACTTTAGGTACATCAACTGGTTCATTAGCACATATTGTTTTTATGGAATGTAGTCATCAAATAGCTGCACAATTCTATCATCATATCCAACTTGTTGTTGATAATTGGTTAATGCTAGAAGGACATTCATTTGGTATAGCGGATACAATAGCTGATCGACAAACATATGAAACAATTCAAGCAACAATTATAAAAGCAAAAAATGAAGTTAATAAAGTTATTGAAAGAGCACATCGTGATTCATTAGAACCAATACCTGGAAATTCTTTAAGACAAACATTTGAAAATATGGTTAATAGTCTTCTAAATAGTGCTCGAGATAATACGGGTTTATCAGCACAAATATGTTTATCTCCTTTTAATCAATTTAAAGCTATGGTTGTTAGTGGTGCTAAAGGTTCATCTATAAATATTTCACAAGTAATAGCTTGTATTGGTCAACAAAACATTGAAGGAAAACGTATACCATTTGGTTTTAAACATCGTACATTACCACATTTTATTAAAGATGATTATGGACCTGAGGCTAAGGGTTTTGTTGAAAATTCCTTTCTACAAGGTTTAACACCAGTTGAATTTTATTTTCATGCTATGGGTGGACGTGAAGCTTTTATTGATATAGCTGTTACACCAGCTGAAACTGGTTATATACAACGACGCTTAATTAAAGCTATGGAATCTCTTATGGTTAAATATGATGGTACTGTAAGAGATGAAAATGAACACATAGTTCAATTTATATACGGTGAAGATGGTCTTGCTGGTGAAAATATTGAATTTCAAACAATTATATCATTAAAACCATCAAATCAAGTATTTGAACGTTTATGTAAATTTGATTTATCATCTGATGAAATGTATTTAAGAAAATTTTTAACTGATGATGTTATTAGAGATTTATATACAGATGAATCATTACAATTATTAAATGATGAATGGAAACAATTAAATGAAGATCGACATAATATAAGACAAATATTTCCAACTGGTGATACATCGAAAATAGTTTTAGCTTGTAATTTAGAAAGATTAATTTATAATGCAAAGAAAAAATTTTCTATTTCAAATTATACAAAATCAAATTTATTACCTAGTCAAGTTATTCAAGGTTTAAAAAAATTAATACAACATCTTATTATTGTTAGAGGTAAGAATTTTTCTCATATAACAAAAAAAAAAAAATTTCTTTTTTTCTTTTTTCGAAAAAAAAAAGGTGATGATCGTTTATCACGTGAAGCTCAATCTAATGCAACAATGTTAATGAATATTTTATTACGTTCATCATTATCATCTCGTCAAGTTCTTGATGTTCATCGTTTAACAGCTGAAGCATTTAATTGGCTTTGTAGTGAAATTGAAACACGTTTTCAACAAGCACAAGTTCAAGCTGGTGAAATGGTTAGTGTTTTAGCTGCACAATCAATTGGAAAACTAGCAACACAAATGACATCAACTATATTACATTATACTGCTGTTTCAGGTAAAAATATTACATTAGGTATTCCACGTCTTAAAGAAATAATTAAGGTTTCAAAAAAACCTAGAACACCATCATTAACTATTTATTTAACTGGACAAGCAAAAAATGATGTTGAAAAATGTAAAGAAGTATGTTGTCGTATTGAACATTGTACATTAAGAAAAGTAACAACTAATACAATTATTTGTTATGATCCTGATCCAAAAGAAACAGTTATTTCAGAAGATCAACAATGGGTTAATACATATTATGAAATGCATGATCAAGATATAAGAAATCTGTCAGAATGGTTATTAAGAATTGAATTAGATAGAAAATCTATGACTGATAGAACGTTAACTATGAAAAAAATTTCTGAAAAACTTTCACAAAGTTTTGGTGATTGTCTTAATGTTATATATAATGATGAGAGTGCTGAAAAACTTATTTTAAGAATACGTACTATTGATCAAGTTGAATTATCAACACGAGAAGATCAAAAAGAGATAACTCGTGTGGATGATATTGATTTTCTTCGGTGTTTAGAATCTTCAATACTTTCTGATTTAACTTTACAAGGTATTGAAGGTATATCAAAAGTTCATATGATTCTTCCAAGATATGATAGTTCACAACAGAAAATTCAAATTAATGATAATGGAGAAATTGAAAGAATTTCTGAATGGATGTTAGAAACTGATGGAACAGCTTTAAGAAAAGTTTTATCAACTAAAGATGTTGATTCACGTCGAACATATACAAATGATATTGCAGAAATATTTGACGTTCTTGGAATTGAAGCTGCTAGAAAATCAATTGAACGTGAATTAAATCATGCTATTTCATTTGATGGATCATATGTTAATTATAGACATTTAGCTTTATTATGTGATGTTATGACAACAAGAGGACATTTGATGCCTATTACAAGACATGGTATTAATAAACAAGATATTGGTCCTATAATGAGATGTTCATTTGAAGAAACTGTTGATGCTTTAATAGAAGCTGCTGTTCATTCAGAATATGATTTATTAAAAGGTGTTACAGAAAATATTTCACTTGGAAAATTAGCTAAAATTGGTACTGGATCATTTGACTTATTATTAGATGTTAAAAAATATTCATCAGCCGTGAAATTACGAACGAATAATGATGATGATGCTTCTGTAGAACACCTAATCCATCGTATGAATCGTGTTGGTCATGAACAACACCTGCTCATGTGACATGAATATGATATGAAAGACTTTCATCTTTTCATTCAATTGACTATTTAACTACGATATCCTCTTTTTTGTTTATTTCTCATTCATATTCTTGATGCTTCCATGTGTTATTTGGAACTACGCTATTAGTTTCTTCTTATTTTGTACATTTATTAGTTTAACTTTTAGTCATACATGTGACCCTTGCGAGTGTCGAAGAAGACAAGAGTCAGTCCCACACTCAAATCATGGTACTCAATAAAAGTTGAATGAAATACTCTGGAAAAATAAGTCCTATATTCAAGAATGAAAAAACCTTAATTTAGGTCACCCCAATATCAACTTATAATATCTAATTGTATTTTTCTGAGTATAACTAATTTATTCAACTTAATATGAGACTCTGAATGCAGAATAAGGCACCCATGTGTTTGATTGTGGTTAAACTGCGGTAAAAATTTCAGAGTGCAATCGCAGTTGCTAAAAAAATCGACATAGATGACGTTTTCAATTTATTAATATTCTTATTAGAAATTACAAAATATTTTTTAAATACAAAAAATTGCTAATAAAACAATTTTAAGAAGCATACGAGTTCAGTTCTTCTTTTGGGTGTGGGTGTGGGAGTGTGGGTGTGGGTGTGGGTGTGTGGGTGTGGGTGTATGGGTGTCGGCGTATGTATAATGAAACAGATATGGCCCCACACACATCCACACCCTCTCTTATACACAGTGATAATTTCAGATGAAACGAAGGCTTTATACAATTATTAAGATACTTTTATCATGTCTCAAAATTAAACTTTATGTTGATTGCATTAGAAGCTTTTTTTATGTATATTTATACAAACTATTAAAAAATATAACATTGTATTCTTCAGATTGAATATCGAAAGGGTGTGGGTGTGGGTGTAGGTGGTGAGTATTGGCGTCAGTTTTGGTAGTATCTTCCCATATCAACATACCCACACCTACACCCCACACTCAAACCTACATCCACATCCACACCCATACCCACACCCCACACCACACCCACCCACACCCGGGCGCAGCTCTCATGCAGCGATTCCTATGTGGGTGTAGCCCGGTGTTTAGTTTGATTTCTAGATGTGACTAAATCTTTTGGTTTCCACTCACCCCGATATCCTATTGGTCGTAGAGGAGAAAACTAGCTTTGCCATGTAAAAATCTTGTAAACATGTGGAGACATTGGTGGAGGGGGGCAATGCATGGTGACAGTTAGAGAACGAGTGAAAAAAAAACACTATAAGAATATGTGGTCGTGAAACATAAATGTTGACTTTTTATAAGAAGAACGCAAAGAAAAGCTTGAATTGTGGTGTTGAAGTGCATCCCACGAAGAAAAGTTGCTTATTGGCATTTTCATTTTTTTTCATCTAAGATTGTTTTTCTCACAATATTTATGTATTATAATCAATCTTTATCATTTACATAAATGGCACAAGCAAAAGACGCTATCAAGAAGGCAACTCGAAATATTCATGATTATGGTTTACTTTTAACAAGAAATGAACAAAATAATGAAAGTACGACGCTTCTTTGGTTTGATCCAAATATTGAATTGCAAGAAGATACAGAACTCACTAAGCAACAATTGCGTTCCATCAATGATTTTGTTACATTTCACACTGATCTTGACCAATGTGTTACATATATTCAGTCTATTAACAAAGAAAAGATTTTTTTAATCACATCAGGATCAAAAGCATCACAACTTCTACCTCTGGTCAATAATCTTTGTCAGGTTGATTGCATCTTCATCTTCTGTAGAAAGAAAGAAAGATATGAGCATTTAAAGAATGAATATTCAAAGATTATTGATGTTTATGTTCATTTAGATGACCTGTGTGCATCCATTCGACAACAAATTGATCTTTTTGATAAACAATTAGAAGTATTTAGTGCTTTCGATCATCATCAAAAATCAACAAAAGATCTTTCAAAACAATCAGCCGAGTTTCTTTGGTTGCAACTCTTTCATCATCTCATTATTCGTCTTCCACCAAATCAAGAAGCAAAACAACGAATGATTAATGTATGTCGGCACTATTATCGTGGAAATACGAAAGAATTGGATTTGATTGATCAATTTGAACGAGAATATCGTCCAGAAGACGCCATTCGATGGTATTCAATACAATCATTCGTCTATAAATTAGTCAACAAAGCATTACGAACTGAAGATCTTGATCAACTGCAAACGTTTCGTTTTTTCATCGGTGATCTATCACAAAGTCTTGCTCGTGAGCATGAAAAGATCCTTTCGTCTAATAATAAAATATTAACTGTTTATCGAGGAGCCAAGTTAGATAAAGTAGAATTCGAAAAATTGAAAGAAAGTCAAGGAAAACTTATTTCAACTAATGGATACTTGTCAACTAGTCGAAGTCGATCACAAGCAATTAAATTTCTACAAGCAAGAGCAAACAGGCAGTATGTTGTTAAAGTTCTTTTTCAAATCGAATGCCATATTCAACAACTTGGTAAAAGTGTTGTCTATGCTGATATTGCCTCTTTCAGTGACTATCCACAAGAACAAGAAGTGCTTTTTGATTTAAATGCAGTGTTTCGACTCAACTCGATTGAAGAACAAGATTCAATACAACTAATTCACATGAATGCATCAAATGAGGGAAAAAAAATTACAGAAGATTATATCAAGTTGACACAAATGGAAATTAAAGAAAAAAGTGTTATCATTGTATTTGGACGATTGATGTGTAGTCTAGGCCAATATGATCAATCACAAAAATATTTTGAAGAACTATTGAAGGAGCCTAATGGTGAAGATATCGCTTGGATAGAATTCAATTTAGGTCAAGTTCTAGATTATAAAGGTCAATGGGAACAAGCGAAAAAATATTATGATCAAGCATACGATCGAATGATCAAAGCAGAATCACCAAGAATCAAAGACTCAGCTCAAGTGCTCAATAATATTGGTGGTATTTTCTATCGGCAAGGAAAATACAATGAATCTCTCGATTTCCATCGACAAGCACTAAATATTCGAAAAGAATTCTGTCCATCTGATCATATAGAAATTGGTAATAGCCTCAACTACATCGGTCTTATTCTTGATCTTCAAGGAAAGTATAGTGAAGCTTTAGACTATCATCAACAAGCATTAAAAATACGTGAGAAATTCTATCCATCTGATCATGTCGAAATCGCTGCGAGCCTTAACAACATTGGTTTTGTTCTCCTTCATCAAGAAAAGTACGATGAAGCTTTGAAATACTGTCGACAAGCACTGAAAATACGCGAGAAATTTTATCCATCTGGTCATATTGATACTGCTAAAAGCCTCAACAATATTGGTCTAATTCTCAATAAACAAAAAAAGTACGATGAAGCTCTGGAATACCATCGACGATCACTGGAAATGCGTGAGAAATTCTATCCACCTGTTCATGCTCACATTGCTATCAGTTTTGACAATATTGGCTCTGTTCTCAGTCATGAAGGAAAGTACGATGAAGCTTTGAAATACCTTCAACATGCACTGAAAATGCGTGAGGAACTCTTTCCATCTGGCCATGTCGATATTGCTTACAGTTTGAAAAAGATTGGAATATGCTATGAAAATCAAAATGAGAGAAAGCTGGCATTGGACTACTACCAACGAGCTGTGGTCATATTCACAAAGTTTCTTCCCGCTGATCATCGTGCACTAGTCAGCATGAAGCATAGTATTTGTCGTCTAACGGGTAAAGACTAAAATTACATGAAAATCTCTCCAAAACAAGTATAATTTTATCAGTGCTATAAACAGTGTACGTCAAAGCACATTGTTGAAGTTGTAAAACTAAGAATAAAGACTTTTGATAGACACATTTGTCGAACTAATTATGAGGATGTGGTGTGCGTGTGGGTGTGAATGAGTGTGCGTGCGGGTGTCGATCTGGGTTCTGGCGTGAGTGCCATCAATTCAGCATACCCACCTTCACAGCCATACCGACAGTCATACTCTCTTTTTGAAAAATATGCATTGCTCACATGAACCATTGTGAACGCACAGATAATGAACGAAAGGAAAGTTAGCAGCGGATTCAAGTTTTTCCTGCTGACATTCGCTCCTGGACTTTGTTTGACCCTAGTTTCACTCGGGTTAGATGCAGAGCTGTATTTTGCATCGAATGGTGTCATTTTCGAGGGAGGATCATCGAGCAACAACTGGGGGTTTGGTTCGAAGGGTGTGGGTGCGAGTCATAACCTAAGGTAAGCTCCGACCCACATCCCACACACCACAGCCACACACCCACACCCAAAGTAGAGCTGACTTCTTAATCTAATTCTAGGCGGTTCTAGATAATTCCAAGTGGTTGCCATTGATTTAAGATGATTTCGAGTATCCTTAAATGGCTTACTTAAATCTTACTGCTTGTTTTGGACTCAAATACTCTAGAGTTAGTTATTTCAGCTTTGTCAGAACCTCTATAATGTCATGAAAATATAGAAATACTATTTAGTTTCGAACAGTGAAAGAGTCTTATTCGAATTTATTTACCAAGAAATATTTTAGAAATGTATGATCTCAATAGGATGCAATGAATCTAGTACGCTATTTCAAATAGATCAGAACATTCGAGTAATATCAGGTTTATTCATCTAACTATTTATATAAATGCTTCATTGTTTTTTTCAATAGAGCAATGAATACATTGATACATTAAAAATTAAACCATCTCGACCGAGTAATTTAAATATACAGGATGTTCTAACAGTCCGTCAAAGAAGTTAATGTAAATATCTCTTATATTATTCATACAAATCGAATATTTTATTCTATGTAGTTGTATGTTTTTCGTAGTCTTGTTCTTTATACTCTCAGATAAATGTCTGTGCCTGTAAACATTAGAATAAAAACAGTTATGGTACTGGTCATAATTGAGCCACCTATCGTTGGGCAACGAAAACTAAAAATCAACTTTAACAAAAAACACACGAAAAAATGCTTAAATTATAGCAATATTTTAATCTTTTTGGGAAACAACGTAGTACAGTAGAAAATCGAGAACATTCTGAAAGACCGTCAAAAACTACAGAACAAAGAAAAGAATCTACGAAGTTAATCATGTTTGTGGAAATCAAGCACAATCGAATGCTCTCGTTGTTACAACAGTCTACTTCATTCCATCAACAACAGTATACTGAATTATGACGGATTATATGTCATTAAAACCTTACAAAGAGCAGTTTGTTCAACAACTTTATGAAAAAGATTTACAGGATAATGTTCAAATGTGTAAACTCTGATATCGATGTTAGATGACAATGGCATTGGGGAAATTATATTATTTCCTGACGTAGTCTGTTTTAATTTAAATGACTTGTCGATAAATGTAAAATAACAACCCAGGTGTATAAAACTTATATACAGATCTGGTTGAATTCAAAATGAAAACTGAGAACGGAAATAGATTAATTTAAAAATAAACTTTCAGCAATATTTTTCTGCTAACTTTTAGAAGAATGAATTCATACATTTCAGTTGATAAAAATCATTTTGACTGTTTTGTTCCCAACTAAATTATGTGAAATGAAAGCTCGAAGTGCATACTATCAGATTATAAAAAAAAACAATCAATGTCGGTTGGTTTATATAAGAAACATTTAAGTTAAGTTTTCGGTGGACTTTTGGAACAGTTTGTCTATTAAATATTATAATATTTATATTGCTTAATTAAATTTTGATTCATTTAGTCTTAGTGGGATTTGTTTCTTTCAATACCCTACTTATAGATTATTTACTTAACCAATCAACAACATAAAGTCATTGAAAGCATACAATAACAAAAGATGAAATGTCATGTTATGATTTTGCTTCTTTTATAATGCGCGATTTTTTTTAAAATTAATTACACATTTCCATAAATGTTACATGATAAAAAAAATTATTCAACTGAGCATTATTATACACGCTTACATAACATAGTTTACAGGATTCAGAATATTTTTTTTTATTCGACTATGACGAAGACTATACTCGATTCATGATAGAGTGCATGGAATTCTAAGGATCAAAATACACAATATCCACATAGAATGTGTCTTGATAACGATGTATTACTCATTCATGTAAAGAAATATTTGTTTTTTTTTAATTGCGTCGAACATGCGTATTCTTTCATGACGTCTAAAATAGAGAATATCGGATTCATAGTACTGCTCACGAATTGCGTTGTTTATATTCGCATTGAAAGAATCAATATGTGTTGTTTCTTATTTTGTTTCGATAGTCTATACTATATATAACCGATTGGTAAGAAGAAAACCTATCATTTGAGCTAGTCTTTCTCTCATTATTATTAACTTTATCTCTATATTCTTCTGCATTCACTATAGAGACGTAATTGTACATCATCGAAATGCAACACAGACAAGGACGTGAAAACTTGAATATGATGAATCGTTCTAGCATAGCTGTTTCCATAAAATTATCATTGGCCGAAGATCTTCAAATACAACGAGCTCGCAAAATTCTTTCAATCGTTCTTGGTATTTTAATTGTGAGTTCTATTTTGATTATAATTGAACATTAATAAAAGAAAAATAATATAGGTTTTGTTTTTGTTTTATTTGAAACATAGGCCAGTTAGTTCGTCATGTTACTATATAACATTTCGTATTAATTTCTCTGCATATATTCATCTTAATATTTAAAAAAAGGCTGTTAGCACAAGTCCTATGTTAAGGATTTTGCCAACTGAAAATGGCTGCTGTATATAAAATCTGACTCGTGTTGTTGTTTGACTAAAGATAAGACTAGTGACGGGAGGAGAATTCTCTTGGAAACAGTGAAAGAAAAAGCAAATATATAATGTCGTTATCACATAGAAAAATAATGTGTCACGATTGTGTCGCAATCGACACATAATGCAACACATTATTTTTCTGTGTGTATGTGTCGCATGCATGCGCTATTGAGACAACATATAAGAAAAAACAAGATAAGACATTTTTAAAGGTAAGCTTGATGAGTCTCTCTGCCGTTGCTCAATCTCGAGTTCGTATTTCACAGAGTGATGAATAGTTTTGTGTAACTTTATCATTAATCAGCTTTAAAATAAGTTGTGTATTGTGTGAGAATACATAAAATATTTTTGTTGGTGTATGATTAGATGGAATTGAAATTTTTCACTAGCTGCGTTTGATCAACTTGAAAAATGATTTCCAGAAATCTCTCATAACAAGTTGGATTTAGCGCTAGCAAAGAATATGAAATGCGGAAGAAGAAAAGGACGCGCCATTACTGACTGTGTATAGTAATTTGATTCGGTGTTTTTAAAAGGACGGGGACCGGTTGATTCACAAATCGGCCCTATTTAAAAACCAAACATAATCTCCATATTTTCACTCAACTTGAGCATCTATCTTCGTCAGCATGCTTTTCTAGTCTTTCGAGAACGATTCCAGAAGACTTTTGAGGTCCGACATGCTGCTCGATAACACCATGGAAAACCATAGAAAAGTACCATGGGTGGCACCCGTGTGGAACATGGTTCTCCACTATTAGATCTGACCCCACCGCCGTTCTTTCTGTGCAACTACAAGTCACTTAGGCCTACAAAAACTACCAGCGGCGGATCTAGCGGTTCGGCGATTGAAGTTTCAAAGCGATTACGTCACGTAAAACTTACTACGTAATTTAACCCTTCCCTAACCAACATAGAAGCCTCACAAAGATAATTCCATTCGCGCTGTTCTATACTTCTTACTGCTTCAAAAAAAAGTAGCTCCGCTCACTTTGGCAAAATTCTAGATCCACCACTGAATACTATCCAAGTGAACGTCCAGAAAAACCCTGTATTCTCGTTTTTTCCAAGACAAGACTACTTTTCTCAATAGAAAACTGTAAAAATTTGACTCGTATATGGCGATTTTCTCCACTATAACAAGGTTAGATTATCAAAACAAAGAGATATGCGGAACGGGTGCGAAAAACTCCGTTGAATATTATCAGTTATACTCATGTAAAAAAAAATTTGCTCAAAAATCACCAAATAATTGATTATTAATCGATTATAAACATAAAATTTTAATCAATGATTTTATCATAAATAATCACAAAAAAATCAATATTGAATCGATTAATAATCGATTATTTGATGATTTTTGAGCAAATTTTTTACATGGGTAATGACCAATGCAAAATGAAATTTTCACGAATGTTTGCCTATGCGGTATAAGGGTCAACAATGAAATTTTTCATTGATCACTATAACTGATAATATTCAACGGAGTTTTTCGTACCCATTCCGAATATCTCTTTCTTTTGCTAATCTACCCTTGTTATAATGGGGAAAATCGCCATATACGAGTCAAATTTTTACAGTTTTCTATCGAGAAAAGTAGTCTTGTCTTGGAAAAAACGAGAATACAGAGTTTTTCTGGATATTCACTGGGGTGGTTTTGTAGACCTAAGTGACTTGTAGTTGCACAGAAAGAACGGCGCTGGGGTCAGATCTAATAGTGGAGAACTGTGTTCCACAAGGGTGCCACCCATGGTACTTTTCTATGGTTTTCCATGGTGTAATCGAACAGCATGTCGGACCTCAAAAGTCTTCTGAAATCGTTCTCGAAAGAGTGGAAAAGCATGCTGATGAAGATAGATGCTCAAGTTGAGTGAAAATATGGAGATTATGTTTGGTTTTCAGTTAGGGCCGATTTGTGGGCCGACCCACCCCATTCTTTGGGTGAAACACGTTCGAAAATCTGAAAATACGATATTTAGAATAATGTTTGATACTATCAGTTACATACTACATTAGTCATCAATCTTTATTTGTTGCTTTCTTTTTTTCTAACATTTTTCTATGCAACGTTGCTCCTATTCAAAGTGGTTGACAATAATTCGTGTCATTCTTATGTAGACAAGGATTTACTTTTGTAAAACTCACGTATGCCAAGAGACAGTTCCTTGTAAACAATTTGTATTCTCCTTTCATCGACAGATATTTCTATCGTTTGAGATGAAAGTAGAATATTTTCCATAACTTTTATTCAAGATGCGGTTTTGTACTTAAAGTGAACGCAATCTGGGTATTCGAAGTGTGTGAGTCTTGTGAATGATGGACAGAGAGTTTCATATTTCAATCACGCAGATGTCGTGATAAAGAACTTGTGTATGAAAAACTCACCTTTTCTTCGATAGTCTTTGTTTCGGTCTAGAGTTCGAAAGCACCACCGAGAATACCACTTGCTTGATGCAATGTCGATGGCAAAGTAAAAATCTGCTCGTTCCAGTCACACCACTTTTTTAGATCATACATTACATGTACTATGCTAACCCAAAAATTGACTCCGGCTCAAATTGAGCTTTACCATCAGCAGGGATACCTCATTATAAAAGACTTTTGCAAGCCCGACGAAGTAAATAAATTATACAATACTGCATTGGAAGATAATGCCATGCGCAACAATGCTTTCGATCTTAACGATCAAAGTGGTAAAAAAACCAGGCTATCACTTTGGTTCAAACCCGGTAATGATGTTTTTGGATATTTAACCCGCAGCGAAAAGATGATAGGCCTTGTAAAACAACTGTTAGGCGGCCATGCACCGGTTTGTCATTTTCATTCAAAACTGATGCAAAAGGAGCCAAAAGTTGGTGGGGCATGGGAGTGGCACCAGGATTATGGTTACTGGTATAAAAACCAGTTTATGTTTCCTGATGAGTTGATCAGTGTAATGGTTGCGCTGACCGAAGCCAATAAGCAAAATGGCTGTTTGCAGGTAATAAAAGGCTCGCATAAATTGGGCAGGTTAAATCATGGTTTTGCAGGCGAACAGATGGGAGCCGATATGCAGATGGTTAATAACGCCTTAAAAACGATGGAATTGGTCTATGTTGAACTGGAGGCCGGTGATGCACTGATACTCCATAGTAATCTGTTGCACAGGTCGGAGGCTAACCTGTCCGATCATCCGCGTTGGTCGATAATTTCCTGCTACAACCTGCAATCAAACCCGGCCTATAATGAAACGTCAGCATGGTATAAAGTGCCAGTTGATATAGTGCCCGATAATGCTATTATGGATTGGGATGCCGATTCATTATCAAATGCCGATTTTCTGAAAAAAGAAAACGATCCGGCTTTGAAGAAAACAGGATGGGAGAGTGTTTAATTTGAAGATGGGTTGATTTGATAATTTGAAAATGATTGATGATTCTAGTTTTTAATGTTTTTAGCCTTTTCAGCTTATATTAAACTATTATAAACAAAGCTGATTTTAGTTTTATAACTTTTTTAACCTTCTTAGCTTATGTTAACCTATTATAAACAACTATGAACATAGCCATGTTAGGATCGGGCTTCATTACCCGTTTTTATGCAGATTCGTTACAGGCCCAGCGGGCACAGGATAATTTGATCAGTACGTATTAACGGAATATCGATACAGCCAAAAAATTTGCGGAAGACTAAAAGCTTACGTTTTTCTGAAACACGATCTGAAAGGGGTGTTGAAGTATATACGGTAGAAATTTGCACCCCCCCCCCCCGCCCCCGGCCCCACTCACAGATCATGATAGACAGGCTGCAGGGTCATCATAGACTGGGATAGAAGGCTTCAAGGAAGTATCAGAGATAATGTATAACTAACATATAATCGGAGCATATATGGAGTATTGTCTTGTTGAAGCTCTATAGTAATAAAGTAAGCCATGATGACGAAATATGCCCCAATATGCATAAAAAAGAACAGTTTTTAGAAAATTGGCAACAATAGCTGCATCGTGTTTCACATTTTAATCCCGTAGAGATTGCGCGAACAGCTTTTTTCGGATGATATGGATGAAGTGGTGAGATGTGGATGCAGTGGTAATATCGTTGCCAAATAACCTGCACGAAGCTGCGGTTGCCGCTTGTGCAACAGCTAAAAAACATGTGTTGAATACCAAACCGCTTGACCAGGGCGTGTGTGAGAGTGGATGTGGGGTGTGGGTGTTGATGGACAATTGAATACACACCCACACCCTTTGTTTCTCAGATTGGAACAAGCAGACAAGAATATGAAAATTGAATGTAACAGGAAAAACATCGAATTTCACATATAGTCACATAAGAGCAATTAAGGTATATTTATATGCTTTGGAACAAGTTACTATGCCCAGAGGCTGATCATATGCCATATCTCTCACTAGTACCACCTAGTACATGTGGTATAAATATGAGATGTCACTGTGGATGTATAAAGAAAACAAAATCGAAAAAATTCTGTGTTAGGTTATTTTTGAGCCACCAGGTATATATATATATAAATATATAGTGGGCATTTTGTAGTTATAAAATAGAATTCGGTTGCATATCTTTTCAGGAATTTCAAGATTTGATCATTTGTTTATGAGAAGATAGATGCAAAAATTATTGCGTATTGTCAACATTTTGAGAAACCCATCATATAGAAAGCAATGACGTCTATCATTGTAATATTTCGTCTTTGCTCGCATTCACCAACCGATGTGTTCTCTAGCCTATCATATAAACTAAACAACAACAAAGTCATTTCTTTTGTTATGATTCAATCGCATTGTTATGTTCTATCGAAATGAATCACATTTGACATCTGTTGATGTTTTACAATATTTTTGTTCTAAGTAGAATATGTTATGCTTGTGACCATTGAATGACAATAATAATAAGTATAGGAATGGTCTTATA